AAATGAAATTTTGTACGGATTGATTTCTCACAAGTTCTAAATACTCTACTGAAAAATTTAAGGAATGTCTAGGATTTTTTCCCCCTGAAGATAACATATTTCTTTGATAAATTTACTTCCCCATTCCATTTCATTCTTAACTCGAGAAACTTCCAATACTTCTTCAACTTAAGAAACTTTCAGTAATTCTGGAATGTAAGATTGTTTATTTTTTTCTATACTTACACTCAACGACGAAGATTTTCATTGAAGATGGATAGGTGTACACTACATGAACTCATTATCAGATGATCCTGGGTATTATGGGATAATATCTTTGCTGGGAATAGGCATCAACGTATTGTTATTTTTTTTCCTGTCGAGATATGCTTAATACAAAAAAAAAAAAAATCATTTTATATTTAGTCATAGATATAGATGTATTGAAAAAAGAAAAATTTTAATGCCGTATTTTTCATAATCACACTAGTAGTTTCCTATGAAATACATCCATTTAATAATAATGACATATTCTTAATAATGAAATATTCTTTGAATTATATTCTTTCTCGTATTAAAGAAAATAAATACTGGATTGCACAAAACCATTCAATCCTTTGCTGGGATTTATAACAGTTTAACATAAGACAATGTGGATTGAATTAACTTATATTTTTTAGTCTTAAATTACGTTTTTTAATATGCTTGATTATACTTTGCTGAATATTATTCTATAAAATGTAATTGAATAGTAATTAAATAAATAAAAATATATCCAACGCCACACGCGCACAAAAAGTTAACTGCTACATATACTTTAATAATAATTAAAATACTTTAATAATAATATTTTAATTATATCATTATACTAAAGGTTTATATACTTACTTCTCATAAAAAAGATTTTTTTTTTTAATTTAAAAATTATTCAGCTAATTTTTTTTTCAGTAAGTTTGTTTTCCGGTCAAATAGGTAGTGTTCTCCAAATGCGAGACCGAGACGAGTCTTGGTCTTGCAAACTCAGTGTTAGTCATGGTCTTGGTCTTGCGCAAGAATCTCGCAGCAGTCTTGCAGTAACTTATTACCTTATTACTATAGAAGTGTTACTGTATTTTTTTAAATAGGAGAAACCTAACTAAGCCTGAATGAAAAATTAGACGAGCTAAATGCAAAAGTTTATTAGTTATACCAATTATTAACAGATTTTCCAGTATTAGTAATTATTTTGTCTTAATTTTTATATAAGAAATAGATTTTTTTTCCAGTCCCCCTGGTCACGGTCTTGCAAATGCAAAATCAAGACCGATTTTTGCATAACATAACATTTTTTTAAATAACTATTTTCCAAAACTTGTATGTATTGACATTTGAAACTATTCAGTCATTTTCGATTACATTAATTTTTTTCTACTTCTATTTGTTTTTCCCTTAGAATTGCGTCCCTTCCTTTGTCATTTTTTGCCCTTTGTATTTAGAAATTACATAGGCAGAAATATTTTTACCCTTTTAAATTTCAACATTTAAAAGCGGCACGACAAGCACTTTATCTTTACAGTTTATTGCTATTTATCCGTTCATGCTGTTATCAGCAGTTTGGTCTGCCGCTACGTCATGAGAATGTCCAACACTCAATGACGCTCTGTGAAGTTTGTATTTACGCTTAACCTGTATCTTTTAATATATATTTTTTTGTAATATTATATGTTATCTTTTTCAATTAACGTATCATAAAGTAATACAATGACATAAAAAAATACAAAGCTTCTCTATCTACTTTAGTGAGGAAGCAAAACTATTAAAACAGAACAAAGAAATCATATATGTATATATGTTTAGGTTTATTCCTAATTGTATCGGCATCGAACCTTTATTTCAGTTAATCTTGCATTTTTGTCAATTAGAGATATACTTTTAGATTTATTTATATTTTTCTGTGATTCCAAGAAAATATTTTATTTCTACTCGTAACTGTATTAATATTATATTAAATGAGCTGTAAGATTGATTTGATCTGTAGCGGCTTGTGGATAAAATAAGCGTTGCAATAATGAAGTCCTTTAATTCAAGATATTATTTTATTGGGAATAAATTGGAAACTAGTCGGTTGTTAGAGTTTCTAATTATAGAATCTAAATCTATAACCAGTCAGATCTATCTATATAGATATCCAAGGCCTTTTGGATAATTTTATGTGCTGAGAAAATTACAAGATGAAATAATAGATTGTAAGGACTGGATAGATAGAATAATTTTATGGTTTAGTACAGCTTTAAAGCCCAATTTTATAGTAATAATTGATATAAATGGTCCAATGTTTGATGGATTATTCTAATTTAGTCGCTTGTACATATGAATTTATATTTGTATTTATTTATAACATATATTTATTATATATGATCATTTTTTTTCTTTTGCCATTACAGAGCTTGTTGCTCTTTTGCCGCTTTAACCAGCCTTCTCCATCTTTACCTATTTCTTTCCTGTTCTCTGGTGCAGCTATATTGCGTATTTGTTGGTTCTATCCACCCATCTAGTCTTTGACCTTCCGCGTGGTCACTAGCCTAATATTGTGGCGTTTATAGTTGTGCCGAGACTTCCCGATGGACCGCTCAGAGCCAAATGTACCATCTTAACTTCCTTGCCTTCATATGATGAGATATTGATTGAGTAGTTTCTCTAAGCAACTCTTTATTGGTCTTTCTCCGCCATACGTTAATACTCGGATTCCAGTTCATTCCAGTTATCGTTCTAAGGATTTTTCTGTAAATATACTTCTTTCTATGGTGCGGGTTCAGAAATATAGACTTGCAGTCGCATACCAGAAATGTATATAAATAATTCATATGTTTCCACGCTAACAAATAACACTGTTCGATTGAGATTAGTAGATGTAATTGATTTCAGCTGTGTTTACATTACGAGTATAATCACAGATCACGCAACGAACGGCACAGCAGGTACCTTTCCTCGGAACTTCAAAAATATTCCTTATATTTCGAAAATGTTCGGTATGTTGGTTTCGCAATAGTACAAAGTACACATTGCTCTCTCATATCCTTGTTTGCTCGACGATTACGGAAATGAATCACCCTGTCTGGTCGTTCTCTCTTGTAGGAACTTGTGTATTTTAGTTTTGTCTTTTTGTAATTTTATTGCGAGCTTCAAATCGAGTTATGAAACCCGCTCATGTGTCTTATCGCGTGGGCATGTGTTGCATGTTGGTGAATTATTAGCTTATGGAGGGCACACATTAGGCTATCTGCTATTTTATGTTTTGGACATAAAAGTTTTTAATGACTGTCATCTATCCACATAACGATGTTTGATGTATAATTTCTTAGTCTTAATTAAAGAAATATTTTTATAGGTTTTGTACAGAAATACGGTCATTTTTATGTATATATATATATATATATATATATATATATATATATATATATATATATATATTTAAATTTGAATAAAACTTTAATATTAAAATATGTATTATAACTTTGAATATCTGTTAAACAAAAAGCTCATTCTTATGTGACTTATTTGAAAGAGAAGACTTAGAAGTCATTTTTTAGTACTTTTTAAAAAAATAAACAAAGACAGTCGCTTCTTTAACATAGCTTATTCGGTATAGTTTATAGATAATTTTATTTTATTCGTATTTAATGATGGAAATTATTCACTTTATTTGTTTATTATTTTAAATCATCACCTTAAGAAATAATAATACTATTCAGACAACCCTGAATTTCGAGGTTAAGAAAATCGTCCTTCTCATCTAGGGCAATGTGATAAACCTAGAAAACACAAAAAAATATTAAGAATAAAAATATAAAAATGTGGTTATAATAAAGTTTATAGAGAAGTATTAATTAATTATTTTATAATAGATGAAAGGACGCGTGCAACAATGCATTTTAATTAATGGCATACTCTAAAAAAAAATTATATTTTTATTAAATGTTTTTACAGATGAATAGATGTTATTAAGTATTATATCTATTTAAACTAATTATAAAGGTTATTGTAAGGCAGACCTAAGGATAACATATTAGCCGAAATGTTGTATGATTTAAGTTTAGACTGAAGGCGGGGAATGCTTGTTATTTTTCTGTGACAAAACTACTTAGTTCGCGCCTCTTGTCCCGAAACTTAAAAATTAGAATCTATAAAACAATTATCTTGCCTACAGTTCTTTATGGATGCGAAACTTGGCCGCTTACATTAAGGGATGAGCAGCGTCTTAAGGTTTTTGAAAATAAAGTATTGCGTAGAATATTCGGACCGAAGAAGGATGAGTTAACCGGAGAGTTCAGACACTTACACAACGCCTAATTGCGTTAGCTGTATCCGGGTAATGTAATTGAGGTAATTTCATCGCGGCGAATCAAATGGGCTTGTAAAGTTGTTGGGCTTAGTAACGAGAGAATTCCTAAAAGGTTAATATTTGCTGTGCCGAATGGTAAGCGTCCGAGGGGTAGACCGAAGCGGAGGTGGGAAGATTGCATAAAAGCCGATCTGAAGGGACTGGGTTTGGACGGCGAACGGTGGAGGGAGGTGTGTAAGCGATTGGTGGTGTCGGCATCGAACCTTCGGGTTCGCTAAGCCTTATTATTATTATTATTATTATTGCACTATTTTAAGAAGAATATGGCAATGAAATGTCTTGGATAAAAGTATGCGCACGGTCGATACAAATTATTTGTAAATAAGTTATTTAACATCTTAACTGAAGCTTATATTTTTGTAATTGAAACTTGGAAATCAAGCCTATTACTGGTTGAAAACTAGTACTTTTTAGTTTGCTGTAGAATGAACTAAGTCCGTCGTATTACACTATTCTAGTGCTATAACAAAAACTTAAAAGTCAAAAAGCCTACTTACTTCATTGCAAGAATAATTGTTTTCACTCTAATGTAAAATTTGGTTTGATGTGAATTGTATGTTTTTAATTTCTATAGTTCTTCCATGGTTGCTTATCCTCCTTGTGCGTGTGGTATCTTCATTGGACTTTTCCTCTGTTACAGGATGGTACGGTACGAGACACTTCGTAACCATGATGCTGTTCTTCGGGATGGCGAACGCTTACACGATGAGGACAAACATGTCTGTGGCTATAGTCGCCATGGTAAACCACACCGCCCTGCCCAAGTTGCCGACTGTGGTCACAGACGAGTGCGAAGACAATAAGCTTTACAACGAAACTCTTCAAGAAGTAAGTTCCTATCTTAGCTAACTATATGTCAATTTGCGTGAATATTCACAATAGTTGTCCAATAATCTGATAATTTTCTTATTAACTGTTGCTTGTTGATTAGAATAATTTTTTTCCCTTTATATATATATATATATATATATATATATATATATATATATATATATATATATATATATATATATATAGTTATCTTGAGCTACAACTTCATGGTATTTTCTAACAGAAGTTATAAACTATAAATGATCCAACACACACAGCTCGACATTGATTTTTTTTTTAACACTCGAAGGGACCATTCTTATAGACCTTCGGATTGTAACATTGGGGGTTTACGTAACTTTGAGGTTTCCGGTATAATAATTTACATCTAGTATTTCCTTTCAACCAAATTTATTCAAAAAAATAAATGAATACAAAATTATAAAACTCTATTCTTATATAGAATATTCTCAGACCTGCTAACCTTTTTATTATTTCTACTCTCTTAAATGATAATTTTGTTTACTCTCTCTCTAGCGATTTGGAGATAAACCTTTATTTTAAAATGGCAATAACATTGATTATGAGAATAAAGGGGCAAAAAGTTATCTAAATGAGCGAAGATGTGGCAGTGAGAATTTTAATCTCAAATGACCGGTGAAGATGCTAATGTAGCTAATATTTTTCGAATCGATCAATTTCATTTTTTTTTCTTGGAAATTTTTAATTTTAGAAGGATTTTATTTTAAGATTTAAAAAAAATGTATATATAATAATAAATAAATATATGAAAAGTTGTGTCAATGTTAATCGAACAATTTTTAATAAAACAAGTATATCAAAAACCATTAAAACATTTAAGGAATATTATTACAACTAAAACTATAAAAGCTTTTAACTTGGAGTTTATTTTTATGAGAGATCATTTGTTTGTGTTTTAATGCAACAGGTGCGCGCAACACACAACTTTGACTTACCTCTCTACTTTGAATAGAAATCATTTTCTGGCAATGTTGGGTAATTGTAAAATTTTTGAAGTGCACTTTTAACGGAGCTATAGCTTAAAGCTTACATCTAAAAATCATTAAACCACTAAAATAACAAAAACTCTATTAATTATATTAACGGTAGACAAAAAAACTAGGTACTCGATCTGTTTTTGTAAATCATATAACTCCAGTCTCTGAGCTATACATATATTTCTAGAGAGATTTGAAAGTATATCTCTATATTCAATTAATATGTTTACTTAATTAATATGTTTTCCTATATTCACTAATTGTTTTTAAATTATTAATAACGAAATAGTCTTATGTTATTATAAAGTTTATATAATAGTATGGAGATAATTGACCGTGATTCCTACTTAAGAACTGGCCAATATATAATAGAATAGAATATAGTAGCATTTTATTCCATTTGCCAACGTTTTGACCTACGCCATAGGCTTTTATCAGAGCTAAAAGAACAAGACACAAACAATTAATAATAATTGGTAGGAGATAAAATAAATAAAATATCACTTTATATTAAACTAGTACAGTTTACCAGATAAGACATAATTGAAGAACTCATAAATATTGCCAAATACAATAAAATAATACTGTAATATATAGTATTATATATTGTCCGCATCTCTTACCACTTCTTCCTGAATAAAGTTCATCTGGTTTATAGAAAATAAACTAACAAAACATTTTTTTAAGATCGTAGCAAAATTTGTACACGAAAGGCAAGAACAAAACTAAATTTAAAAAAAATATATATAGACTACCTAAATCTTTATTTGTTTTAGATTTTTATTTTTTCCTCTTGTAAAATTTTCAATTCTTTTGAAATGATCGGTTTTTAAGATAAATGTTTAGACAAAAACAAAAAAATCAAAATTAAATTAAATATAATTTAATTGATACTATCAACAGGACTTTGGATTTACAGAATGTGAGAAACTGTCAAAAAACATTAATAAAATTTAAAGAGTGAATAAATAAAATACCTATTGTCTATACCCAAACTTACTTATTTTTTAAATTTCTTATATTGTGTTTTTTAACTTTTAAAGTATTGCTCATTAGATGTTTTTATAGTTAAAAAAATCTGGTACGATGCGTGCATCACACAACTTTCATTAGCCGCCCACTTAGCAGAAATAAGTATTTTCAGACAAAGCGAAGTGAAAGTAAAAATTATAGACTCTATATAGTGCATTATATAAAGTGCAACTTCCGGTTAGCCGATTTTGACGATAAAGTCGCTGCAACATCCCCAGCATATAAAAACCTTAAATATGCAATTTCACTTCCATACGACTTTTCGTTTTTGAGTCAGACTGTTAACACACACACATACCATTTTGCGGGACTTGGTTATTTGGACTGAGGGGACCTCAAAACGTTTATTTCCGTTGAAAACTCAGATTCGAAAATTTTCACGATCGCAATACTTACTATATACGCTGTCTTACTATATATTTACATATATAGGTAAATGAAAGTAAAAATATAGAACTTGTAAACCAGCTGTTTTATGTATTTTGAGGATCTAAGAATTTTCATTTTTGATACCTGATGATTTTGTTTTATGGCAGGAAGATCGATATATATTGATCGAATAATTTCATATTGAAGTTTACTGTAATAAATTATGTGCTCTTAGATGTCAGTTGGATCTTAAGAGAAGAAATAAATTTAAGCATTAGTTTGATAAATCGCACTATGCAGGAAGGGTTTTTTATATAGTTTCTTGAAGGTATGCGAAAAACAAATCTTCCTCCTGCGGTCAATTCTTTTATTAATCCCGTTTTCCTCTTAAATATTGAACGTTTCGGGACTCAGCCCCATCTTCAAGAACATTCTATTTCGTAATGTTCTTGATATCGTCCTGTTGTGTAATCTATATATTTTTTTATTTTGTAATTTTTCTTATAACTTTTTTACTTCTAACTCTTTTTAGAAACATTCTAATCTTGCATAGCTGCCCTGACTATCTGTAAGAGAAAGCATGATTAATAAAAGAACATCCCAGGACGATAGAATTTTTATATATATATATATATATAATTGTATCGCCTCTCTCTCATTCTCTTCTTTTCCCTGAGGTGACAGAAAGTGAGGTGTAACATTACAAAGGAGAAAAAAAAAAATATATAAGCAGGCATACCTTGGCGAACTGACTAGTTTGCGGGCCTCATTGAAAGAAAGTTATTAGCGAGATAAAAGAGGTCTTTGCACTGGGACAATGTGACATACATAATACTTTGTGACGTAGTTCATTTCTTGAATGGGTGAGGGGATGGAATTATTTCTTACACACCAAAAAGAAGTGGGGGGAAGAGGGAGGTTCTTGCCTACCCCGAAGCCCATATCGTCTAAGTCCGGGGGTTTTAAGTAGATTTTCTTCTTTTTTCTGTTTGTGTTATAATGTTGTCTATAATTTTCTGTCCTTATTTTTTTTTTTTCTGTAGAGTTTATTTGTTTTTGTGAACTATTAGTGCATTAAATTTATCTAATTACTTATCAAATATTCTGACATGAAATCTTTATATTTATATTAAATCAATAAACAATTAATGTTTTACATAAAAGACCATATTAATCCCACATATTTTATTTCATTTATAATTTTGTTTTTTTAACAAGAAGATATTAATATAATAATTACTACTATAAAGTAGTATGCTATAAAAAAATCAATTAATTTTTATGACTTGTTTTTCAAGAATATTTATTCGTTTTTTTTTTAAAAAATAGATAACATAAAAAGTATATTTGTTTTCTTCAAATATAAAAACTATTTCCGATTTTCAAATTAGCTTTAATATGAATTATGTATTCACATAATCATGATAACTTCATCATTATGATAGGCTGTGGAGAAGAGAATATATGTCTTTTAATTTTACTAATTTATTTTATATGATTTATAATAATTTTGATTGTTGATTTTAATAATTGCATTTTTATTTTAATGATAAATATAAAAAGATCAACAAATACTATTTTTAAACGTGAAGGTATGACTGCATAGTTATATAATTTATAATTATTCTTTGTGGGAAGAACAGATTAAAAATATAGTTTTGACACCATCGGCGCATTTTTATGAAGATCAAGTCCATCACTCTGTTATCTTTTGTGCTTAGAAAAAAATAATTTGGAATGAATAACTATTTGAACTTACGTTATATCCGTTATGCCATATTTTTCAATTCTCAATTTTATCATTAATTATTATAATAGACGTTTTCTGAATAACATTGTGAGTTGTCATATTTGCATTTGCATATTTTAAATTATTCTAAACGTTTGATATCTTGGAAATATTTCTCAAGAAAATAATCTTGCAATCTTTAGACGTCAATTTTTCTAGTGATTTCATAACAGAATAACTTGTCCTGTATTTTTATTCTGTTAAGTAAATTCAATATCGAAATAGTTGGTGGATCATAACAACACTCTCATAACAACACAGAAATACATGAATGTATTATCCTCTATTCTTCCATCGTAAAACACATAGATTGATCCCAATTCGAAAATATTAAAAAATTCAAAGATGAATAAGTTACTCAGTAACTGGAAGCATTTTGCTAAAATATAAATTGGATATAGCTATAAATATAAAATAATAAAAAAAAACTCGAAGGCAAACTGAATGTTGTATACCACTACCTTCGATCACAGAATCCCGAAAATTGCATAGCTAGATTTATATCTTCCCTTCTACGTCTCGGTCAATTCCTACATTCACAAGCCAGTCTGTAACTTCATATGCCATTCTTTTCACCTGCCGCTATTCTGTAATATATTTTTTATTAACTTTTTTTTTATTTAATGCAATAAGTGGTCTATAAAGGATGTTAGATAATGTTACTTTATAAATATATACTAACAATTCTTCTCACTCCTTTTTAATATTCGAATTATCAGTATCCTAATTTTAAATTAAGTAGGAACAGTAAATTTTCAATTATAATATTAAATTTATTAAAATCTCTAATAGTAATTATTAATCAATGTGAACTAGTAAAAAATAAAAAACATTAAGAGACAGAAAACCAATTTTAGGTTATGATAATTATAAAGTCCAACCACACAGCCTTGTGTATCTAAAATACAGGTAAATAATAAAATAATCCATCAACTTCTTGCCTATTTCGGCATCATCGGTAATAAAACTAACTGCTATTCGATTGAATGTCGTGTTGTAGCTTCGGTTTGTTTTCGTTTCTGTCCTGAATTGAGAAATCTTTGACAGGTTATTTTATTTTTTACCTGCATTTTAGAGTCACGAGCCTGTGTGATTGGAATTTTCCTATTACAAATTAATGAAATTATTGACGATTTTCCGAACTTATAATAATAAGTCACGATCTATTAAATAAATTATCGGCTGTCTTGAAAATGTAGTTTATAATTTTATGAGCAAGTAATGATGAAAAAAATATAATTAATGATGAAATTATAGCAGTTCATTCCCAGAGGTATTATTTCAACTGTTGTAGCAATTTTAATAGCGTGGCATCACGTGGTTGAAGTGGGGAGGTGACCTTCAATGCCCAATAGTTCAGTAGTCAATGTTACAACTGTTTTTGTTTAAACTTATCATTATTAAAAATTCGTATTTCTTTATTTAAAAAAAAAAATCTTGACTAAAATAAAAATGATTTCCAAACTGTGGAGATTCCTTTATTGTATTTACTTATTTTCTTTGTAGGGCAGACCGCTGTCAAATGGCCGTTCGCCAACGAATTCAAGGGTAGCGTTAGGAAAATAATTTGTGTTTGGATACATGTACACAAATACTTTTCTTTCATGTGTCTATCCAAATTTATCAAACATATTTATCTATTCTAGTTAATTTTTTACCCTTCATCGCTTGAGTTATCGAGCCTCGTGCTGTAAGGATGTATCAAATTAAAAATCTTGATTAATGGGAGTAAAGATATTGAAGTCACAAAACAATAAGATTAATAGATCATAATCATTTCTATAAAAGAATTTCATTAGTTATATGTTTCGTTTAATTCCTCCACTTTTAGTCTATAGTAAAAAACGGTAAAGAAGTTAAAATCTATTTAATAGTTCTTTCACTTTTGTATAAATAAAATGATCAATAGTTTTTTATATCTATGTTATTCTTATAATTAGACATTCAGTGATTTTTTATATTGAATAATAATTTATTTATTTTTGAGACAGTTCTGTAGAAAAAAATACGAAATGCAATTTGTTTGCCTTTTCACTCTTCATCACTCAATCATCAAATAAATAATTGAAATCTACAGTCATAAAAGTAGATGGCTAGTATCCAACATAGGAAATAAAATACACTAGATGGCTATAAAAAAGTATGGCAATTAATACTTTTAAATTATTAAATTAATACTTATTTCTGCTGATAGGGTGGTAAGTGAAAGTTATTTGATGCGTGCACCACACCATATTTTTTTTTATAATGGACTGTATTCCATTTCATAAAAAATCAAAGCATATTAAAATAAAGTAAGGCTGTATTATTTCACCATATTTATTTTCTTTTTTTACATTGGCCATGATGCCATTTTCATATAGTCAAATAATACAGACTTCCTTTATATTATTAAACTTAATTTCACCTAAAAAAAACAAATAAAAAAACCAAATGAAATCATTTATAGATATAATGTGAAGTGTTTTCAAGATTTGTATAAAAAAATTAAAAAATAATTTATTTTATTTTATATAGTTTGTTGTTTATTATTATTGAAAATTGTGGTTATTTTTATTTAAAATGTTAATTTACGTTTATTTATTTTTCTTTTATTGTGTATTTTTAAAATATTAATTTTCCTTCTGTTTAAAACAACACATATATAAATTAAATAAATATTACAAACATACCAGTAGTATCATGTAAAAAGTACTTGCACCAAAACATGTATATTTTTAAACATGTAAATACAACAATTTAAAACTTAAAACAATACAAATATTTTATTCCATCTAGTTTTCAATAATATAAACAAATAATTCGCAAAATATGAATGTTGTTAAATTAATTAATTTCTTATTATTTGTATAAACTTTAAATTTCAAAAATAAATAATCAAGTTATAAATATAAGACAAAAATAAGGTTCACTTAGAGCGCATTAGAATCCTGACATTTTGAAATTACTTTTAAAAAATTTCATTTTATATTTTAAAATTTTTTGTTGATATTTTAACAATTTAATCCAATTATACTACTCTTCATTTGAGATGCTTTATTAAGATTAATAATTAAATGTTTATAGGTATTTAATTAGTTTTTTATTGTTAGTATCAATTTACTTGGTTAGTTTATACTAATTTCCTTTTTTCTTTTCAGAAACATAAAGATGGACCATATTTATGGACCACTACTGAACAGGGCTATATATTGAGTGCATTTTTTTATGGATATTGTATAACACAGATTCCATGTGGTATTTTGGCAAAGAAATATGGAGCACTGAGGTTTTTGGCTGGTGGAATGATGTTGAACTCTCTTTTTGGATTTTTAGTTCCAATTTCTGCAACTTTTGGCACAATACCACTTATTGTAGTCAGATTTATACAAGGATTAGGAGAGGTATGTATAGTTTGATTGATAACGTTAGATTTTTTTATTATTCCTTATAATTTATGCTAATATGGGCATCTTGTTTTTATGCATGAAAATATTTATTTGTTGAATAATTGGTAATTATCATGTCTATATTAAACTCGAACCCACAGGAGGGTTTGATTATTATTTTTTTGTTGATATCAGAGTATTTGTTAAAACAATAAACATTCATTTTTATTGATAATCAAAAGACCAATCAATATTTTGTTTTTTAAAATCATATCCCCTTTCATAAACCACAATTTAACCAATAATATAAATCGTTTATGTAAATTGTAATGTTTAAACTTCATTTTTAGGTAATATTTGTTTATTCTTAATTTAAACAAAATTGTCTTTTTCCATTTTCTGGCCCAGAAAAAAAGTGAACTATTGGGTTTGTGATTCCAGTGTAGGATATTGTATCAAGGAGAGCACACTTTTCCTCCCAAAAATGGAAGCTTTGCCTAATATGGGCTGTAATGTTTGTAATGTTGGGAAGTGAGGTAGGAAACATTTGCAAGGATAATGTAAAAAAAATTGATTTTAGGAAAGAAATATTGGAGCTGGTATAATTTGGATACAGCAGGCTCACTGTAGGGTACGATGAATGCCTTTGGTGCTGTTGGTAATGAACCTTTGGGTTGCCTAAAACAAGAATTTTTTTTTTAACTAACCATTACTGAAAATATTTTTTCATTATTCATTTTGGAATTTTATCAATATTTTATGATGGTTTGGTTATGTGATTTTTTGTTTATTGTTTTTTTCTTACTGGGAACCCCTTTTAATCATAATTTATCTTTTAAACTAGGCGAGATGAATCAAAATTGAAAATATTTCTAGGGCCCTGTCGTGCCATGTTCACATGCCATGCTTGCTAAATGGATCCCGCCCAATGAGAGAAGTCGAATGGCAGCTATTGTTTATGCAGGTTTGTGAATTATATATTTAAATTACCTCTAAATATTTTATAATCCTATATAAAATTGCATTCTTTATGAAGTAATTTTGGAAATTAATTATGATTAAATTAATCTTATTAGGTGGGATTTGAAGTAAATAGAAGTTGTTTTATTTTTTTTTATCCTAAAAAATTATTTGCAATAAATCGAACTTACAAACGTTCAACTGCGTTTAGAAACATAGTTATCTATTGTTATGTATATCTGTACAAATTAGAAAGAATAACAGAATAATGAAATTATTGAGAGTAAACAAGATAGGAGGAAAAATACAGCTTATAATGAATACTTTTTTATCTACTGTAAGCATTTACACACATTATCAACAGACACTTTCAAGTGTCATGTCTTATTATTTTGTTCTTTTAAAGGAAATATAAATTAAACTTACTAATTTTGCAAGGGTTAAATTAATCATTGAATCATATGAGTGAAAATAAAATAACATTAGAAAATTTTTTATCATTAAATTTCTTTTTTTTGTATGTAATGATAATTCAATATAATTATTAAAATGTGATTACTAAAATATAATTAATTGTTTAAAGTTGCTTTCATTAGTAATATTTTAATAAGAATATTTTTATGTTTAATATTTCTATATTTTACATAAGCAAATTAATATAAAAACTAACTATGAATGGAAAACTATGTTTTGTAGTTAAAAACAGCGATAAAAATATATTCTTACATGCAAAAGTAAAATTTTGCATTGTTTAAATTAAATTCAATATTTTAATCTTTTATTTTATTTTACAATTTTAAGGGTTTAAGATTGAAGTATTCGATATAATAAAAAATGCTATAATATGAAAATAATTTTTATTCATTTCTTGTACTGATATTTTACTTTGTTTTTAGGAGCTCAATTTGGTACAGTGATATCTATGCCTCTCAGTGGGGTCTTATCGGATTTAGAAATTTTTGGAGGATGGCCTTCTATTTTCTACTTCTTCGGAGCACTCAGTGCCATTTGGTCCATTTTCTTCTACTTCACTGTTTATGAGGATCCAGATTCTCATCCAAGCATAGATCCCGATGAAAGGAAACACATCATCAACACTGTGTGGGGAGCGGCTGGTGTAACTGTGAGTTTAGTTAAATTTCTTATCTTATTCAGTCTTCATTGATAATCAAATAGTGTATGGAGTTAAACACATTGTGAAACCTCTAGCATCTTAAACATCCTCTTTCTATTCATGATTAAATGTGTGTCTGGACATTCAGGTGTATATGATCTTCTCATCATGAAGAGCTTGAACTTTTTATACTGGAACCTATCTACTGTTATTCAAAAAATCTGGTGCGCGCAACACAACTTTCACTTACCGCTGAACTTTGAATAGAAATTATTTTCCGGCCATTTTGAGCTAATATAAAATTTTTGAATTGCATTTTTAACCGAGCTAAAACTAAAAGCTTACAGCTAACAAATCATAAATACCATTAAAATAACAAAAGTCCTATTAATTATATCACCGGCAGATTATGGGTTGTACGATCCGCTGATAATCAGTTGATTATGGATTGTACAACTATTAGTTATTAAACTGTTATTTTCCATTGCAAAGTTTACTATTACGTAATATCAGTTTTGTACGATTTTTCGTTTTTGAGCTAACATACGCACACAGACCATTTTGCAGGACTTGGTTATTTGGACTCAGGGTACCTCAAAACGTGTATTTCTGTTGAAAACTAAGATTCGAAAATTTTCACCATCGCAATACTTTCCCTTAATATATATTACATATATAGTTAAGTGAAAGTAAAAAGGAGATCAAGGTGGATGTAAAAAAAAAAGATTAATTTTACTCTAAGCTGTTTAAATTAATGTTACTCTGTTAAATTAATTTACTCTAAGCTGTTTCTTGAAATACTGTACAAACAGAAGCGCATCACTTCTAAAAATAGACCAGATCACATTGAGGAGTGTGATAGGACTGCACATATGTTACTCTTGGCTGAATAAAAATCTCTTTAATTTGAATTCTATCCGATCTACCAATCTGCGGAAAAATAAATGGGTAATGAAACTGCTTATCTCATATGATGTTGTAATTTAGCCAGAATAAAATTCCTTTGAGTTCACAATAGCTATGGCCGTTTGTTAGGGGTGGTTAGGGTTAAGTAGTCCTACTTAACTTTCAATCAAAAACTATTGAAAGTGTAAATAAATGGATTTATTGTAATTTGATAAGGGGTCAATTGATTGAGCAGGATTTATTAAAAAGTCTGGTTAATCAGATGGGATTTATTAAGTTATTTATTCATTTATTCCAGTTAGTGGATAATTGTTGACAGTGGAAGGTATATTGAAGAGAAATTAGTTGGGGTTTTCAGTCAATGAAAGTAGAACTTAAAAATAAATAAATAATATTTACATTTAATAAATAAATAGAAATATTTCATTTATTTTTACTTTCTATTTTCATTGACTGAGAACTACAACCAACTTCTTTTCAATAAAAAATTTTAGTTTCCACTTAAGTTTAAGAAAATCTAGTTGTTCAAATTTAAACAAATAGTCAAATGTATTAATATATATTCTTTCTGAGATTAAAAGCAAATTTGCAATAATTGTTTACTTTTTCAGTCTCCTCCAGTTCCTTGGACTTCGATTGCAAAATCCTTACCTTTCTGGGCCATCTTGATTGCACACATTGGGCAGAACTACGGCTATGAGACACTCATGACAGAATTGCCAACGTTTATGAAACAAGTTCTTAGGTTCAACATCAAAGAAGTAAGCAATACTTTTAAAAATGAAATAAATTTAATTTATCTTTACTTACTAATATATTGGCAATAATTTCAATGTTATTCTGTTTCCTTTTTAGAATGGTTTCCTTTCTGCTTTGCCATATCTTGCAATGTGGGGCTTCTCAGTTTCTTCAAGTTGGGTTGCAGATTACTTGATATCTCATGAACGTATGTCCCATACTAAAGTTAGGAAAATCGCACAGGGCATAGGTAATTAACTTTGTTTATATGTGTGTTTACTTTTCTATGCAATATCAGATATACTCTATACTTTTCTATAGGCCACAATCATGGGACTGGAAATCTGGAAAAAAGAAAAGAAATATATAATCTAATTTAACTTTTTTGTTTGTATTTTCCAGGTCATTTTGGCCCTGCTATTGCTCTGGTTGCCGCCTCTTATACTGGGTGCAACCCAGCTCTTACTGTTGCCATCCTGACCATTGGTGTAGGCCTCAATGGTGGTATCTACTCTGGATTCAAGGTCAACCACTTGGATATCTCTCCTCGATTCGCTGGAATCCTCATGTCGTTCACTAACTTCACGGCAAATATGGCTGGTCTCTTAGCACCTATAGTAGCCGGTTACATCATTTATGGAAGGGTAAGAGAAATGCTTATATATGTCAAGTTTTTTGTCCATCTTAATCAAATGTTTAGAATTGGAGGATTTCTAGAAAAATATCCAATACTATTCAAAATTCATTAAAAGATAATCTTAATAAAAACGATATAAACCAACTCTCGGTTATCAATAAAAACAAAAAAAGCATTTTAGTCCACTTATCTTCTCCAATTAATAATACTGATTGCAAAAACAAAATATTATTACCCCCTGAACTTAAGGAAAAATGATTATCCATCAAAAATTTATTTTTTAAATCTTGTAATTGATGCAAGTCTTGAAGTTATTTTGAAAAAAAAAATGTTCTTTATGTTTTTATTGTTTCAAATTTGTAAGGATCCATTCTTGTCAACTTCTGAACCTTTTTCAATAAAACAAGTTTGAGATTTGCTGATTAAGGTTATGTATCATTGTTAGTGATTTCTAGCCTGAAAATCATTCATTCAAAATTTTTAGATTATAAAATAAAAAGTATTTTATAAGTGTATTGTCCTTACAATTTTTTAATACAGTTTAAATGTTTGTGATCTTTTAGCCTACGCAAGCAGCATGGAGGGAGGTATTCTTCGTTGCTTCAGCAGTCTATTTGGTCTGTAACACTTTCTACTTAGTTTTTGCTACAGGCAAGAGACAGAATTGGGACGACCCATCAGCTGATCAGCCTCCAAGTACACCAAAGCCTGAACACACCGTTGAATCGAGTCATTGATTCAAGTTTGGTTGAAGCCATTTTCTACGTTGGGCTCTTGTCTATATAAAAAATAATGTAGATTTCAGCATTGTAAATAACCTTTTTTTTATTATTTAATTTAATTAAATTGTTTTGATTTTAACTACTTCACATTCCTCTTTATTGTTTAGATATCTCTTCTCATTTGCCTTTAGGATAGTATTTTTATTATTTATTTACTTAGTGATGTATTTTGACATTCAGGGTATTTTGATTGTTCAATTTTACCGAATTATAAACTGATATGTTGATTAAAAAGTGATAATATTTAGAGAGAAATTAATTTTACATAATACATGACTGTGAAGTTGTACTTTTAATATTATTGTACAGTAATTGTATATGTTTGAAAAGTGTATATATTTATATACATATGTACAGTAGTCAATTTATTTTAGTAATGAAATTCTGTTTGTTTTTATTTATTATGAAATTGCTTTGATGTTTTGTTAATAAAAATATAGAAAATCTGAAAAAAAAAATTTAAAAAAGGATAACTATTCCGACTAGATACTTAAATTTTTGTATCAATTGTCAATTGTATATATTTGTCTTGTAAATTGTTAAAGTTCTCAAAATCCTATTAGTGAGCAGTGAAATAGTAAAAAAAAACACACACTCCTATTTTTTTTGTTTTTAATATCTTCCTTTTCCTTAATATTTTTATATATATGTGTATAAAATGATCCTTCAGGTTGTAAAGTAATTAGAAATCCTGTAGGGCTTGCCTCAAGAAGAATATATCTCTCTTTCTTCACAAGTTAGAGTGCTTAAGGATATTAAAACTAATTAGCAATACTTAATCTGAAATTAGAACTTTAGGAAAAGTTTTTTCTTATAAGTTGAGGTATGACTAAGTGTCTTTGCCTTGGTGATTTATTTAATGATTTTATTTACTTTAATGGATCGATGTTTCTATTATCCTTGAGCAGTTTTTCAAATAAAGTATTTTAAAATACAAAATAAAATACATTTTTTTGTATTTTGAGAACTAAAATATAAAATACATTGTTTGCATTAACTGTATTTTCTTTTGAAAATACAAAATACATTGAAATGTATTTGTATTTTATTTCTAATATACAAAGTACATAAAATGTATTTTATTTTGTATTTTAAATACACTATAAAATTGAGAAGGCAACTTTAAGTTATGTAGTAAGGCTAATCGTTCATACAAGAACTCGCCCATGAAAATTGAGCTTGAAAATTTGTTAGGTCGATGGTCCTAAATTTTTAATACCATTATTTTTGGGAATAAAACTGGTAGTTAGTTCTCTAATGTGTTGGATTCTCCTAGAATCAAATTGTTGAATGATCAATTTTTTGAGGAACAGGTATTATATAAAAGCTAATTGTCAAAAAGTTTGGTTTGAAATTAATATCTATGTAGCATTTATTTGTTGGTCAATAACTTTTTAAACAAATTGTTTCTTGAAGAAAAGTGTTGATTGAATTAAATATTGTTTCCTCAATTGATTGTTTTAAAATACACTGCATTTTAAAATAATAATTAAAATACACTGTATTTTAAAATAATAATTAAAATACATTTTGCCCAGGTCTGGGATGCAACCAAAATGAAATTGTTGAGTGATCAATTGTTTGAGGAATGGGTATCATTAAAAACTAATTGTCAAAAAGTTTAATTTGGAATTAATATCTAATTAACCTGTTTGTTGGTCAGTTATAATTTTTTTAAACAAATTCTTTAAAAAAATATTAATGAAATAAAATATATTTTCTCAATTAATTGTTTTAAAACTATATCTACTGTCTGTTTTAAAACAAAATACTGTTTCATTACAAAAAATAAATAAAATAATTGTTTTTTATAAAATTATAATTTTTTTATATGAAGCAGTTGCAACGTGTAACAAGGTACTTTAGACACATTTGGCTTTTATTTTTTGGGGTTTTAAATACAAAATACAAAAAGTATACAAAATATTTTGTCTGTAAGTATTTTAAATACATGGTGTTTAAAATACACTTTTAAATAGACAAAATACATGTATTTTAAAATAATTTTTCCTCTTTTCTATCTAAACCATTATAAATAGGCTTGTTACAAGAAAGGTGATTACATTTAACTTATCTATGATTAAGATTCTGAAAATTCTGCTTGTTCGACTTTGAACTTAAAAAAATGCTTTAATACAGTTTCGATCAACTGGACAATGATTTAATTTTCCCAGATTTCTCATACTATCATACCAATTATTTATTATTCAGTATTTCAATGTTTATCACAAGGACATTTATGATTTCATTTTGGGGGAGGGATTTTCTCCCCCTACAGAATCCCAGGGGTATCCTTTTTCTTTGAGGAAGTTAAAGTGGCTACATCCTTCCAATCATCGTAAGTATTTTCTGACATCCTTCCTCTTCCAAATCATTCACTCCCGCTGCCTCTCATCCATCTCCGTGGTGCTACAATTTAAATCCTCAGTTCACTCCCGCAATACCCGTTCCCGGTCTTCAGATTTATACGCAATGGCCCACCGAACCGCTGCTTTTGATAGATCCTTCATTATTCGTTCCTCAAAACTATGGAACTCCATCTCTCCCTATATCCGTCACTCCAATACCCTCTCTACTTTTAAATCCCACCTATTCAATCGATTAGAAAAAAAAAAACAGGTAGTAATTACAGGAACAACAATGCTTTCAGGAGGTCACTTTTAATTATTTTTTCTGAATGTGTGCTCACATTTAGTAACTGTATATGTTTTATAATTTAAACTGAGTAATGTCAACAAAAATTTGAAGTTGTCTCTTTTCCATGTAGAGACCTGTAGTTGCTCCCTGTCCCTTGTTTTACCTTGTTCTGCTGCTGCTCTACATAAGAATTTAACTCCGCATCAGTGATTAGGTTGACATGTTTATCGAGAACATCTCAGCTCTCACCCTTCTAGGTGATAAAGATAGGGGAGATAAAGAGCTTATAAATGTTTCTTTACTTGCTTCTCTCCTTATTGGTATAATGATGTTATTGTTGATCTAATAGTACAATTGGTTCTATCATCTTTAATGTTCTATTAGCTATTTCTTGATCAATTCTACCAGATTTATGTATTAGTGTTGTGAGATTGTTCTACTCATTTACTACTTGCAGGACCTCCTCATAACATAACATTTCAATATTTTCATCTTTATTTTTTAAGATAACTAGGCTCTTGATCTTTGAGTTGTTCATAGATATTCCTTTCCATACCAATGCTTATTATTGCCCTCCTTTTGAATGTGATAGTACTATTCATCTCCATACAGGAGACACTTTATATAGACTGTTCGCATCTTCTATTTTCCTATTGCAGTTCATGGTGTCTTGCAAGTCTCATCCCCCTAAATAATGAATAAGATAGCACTAAGGGTGGGTTAAGTGTGGGTAGTTTATTACAGTGAGCTAGTTATTTGATTACAGAACAGAGCTGATTTATTGATTTATATTTACACATATAGCAATAATATTTATCACGTTGACTCATAAAATTTAGTTTTTGATGTGAATTTACGAATGAACTAAAAAAAATATATATAATAGTGATTCGGGCTTTATATCTACTCATTCATTGTTAATGTGTAGTAAACTTATTCACCAACAAACGGCAATATAATTAATTTGGTCTTAAAGCTTATTAAACAAAGAAAAAAAAATATGAATAATCCATGTATTTATGAAACAGTACTTAGTGTATTTTAACTCCTTAAAAGTCCATTTTGAATGCTTTTAACAAAAAAAAACTCTACTTGCATTTGAAGAAAATTTTGTCTGGTTTACTTTGAAGTAATTGTTAACTACTTAAATTAAATATTTTTTTAGCTATTGTTAGAGACTTGATCTTTGTGCAGTAAAAATCCAAAATATTGTATTATTAACTTCTAAAACATTAAAAAAATCATCTATTTTGCTTAATTTATAATATTACTGCATCAAAATCTTATCAAACCTTGTGCTTCTGAACTGAGATTTTCTTGTGTACAAATTGTTGATGTAGTTTTTCTAGATCACTAAAGAAATATTTAGGGACTTATGCTCTTTCTAAAAAAATTTTTTAATAGAAATATTTTTTGTTACCTGCTCTATATTCAGTGTCTATCTGTGATTTCCTATCACAACCGAATCACTTTTCACAAGGCGTACAGAAGACAATGTTACCATTAAATTTCAACCCAGGTTGTTTTGTTATTCATATTATATTATATAATGAAATTATTATAGTTCACTTCAAAGCCAGAAGGGATACTGAGGAGCTGAAGAATCATAACAATAACATTAAATTTCTTTTCTAACAAAATAGTTTATGCTAGTAAAGCAGTTTTTTATTGTTATCCAATACGTAAAGATTAGGCAAGTTCTATTCCAAGAATATTTTCTACTTGTGTTACTTCTTCCTTTTGCAATATTAAGTTCGAAACTCTGCTAATCACAAAATTATTTACCTTTCTCATATTTTTAAATCTTATATTATAAATTTAATATAGACAAGTTAGTAAAATAAAGGCACATATTTAAATACACACACACATATATATTTTTATTTATTTATTTTTATTTTTTTTTTTTTTCGGTTGGCTCTATAGACCTTGTAGATCTTTGGCTGCCTGAACCAGCCTTCTCCACCTCTGCCTATCTTGGGCTACTGCTTTCCAGTTTGCGGAATGAAGCTTTTTATCCTATCTATCCATCAGGTTTTTGGCCTCCCACGTGGTCTCTTGCCTACTACTCTGGCATTCATTGTCGTGTAGAGGCGTCCTGATTATTACTAGCTACATGCCCTCCCCATCTTAACCTCCTTGCCTTCATATCATGAGATATTGACTCACCCATTTCTTTCAGCAGTTCTTTATTGCTCCTTCTCCTCCATGTGCCAAGGTTCTGGTCCCATATAGGTCCTGTTATCTTATGTAGAACTTTTCTTTCGAATCTCTCAATTCTGGCTTCTAATGTGCCGGTTAGAGCTCAGGTTTCACAACCATACAGCAGAACTGGCTTAATCACGGCGTTGTACACCCTTATTTTGAGATTTCTGGAGATTTTTCTGGATTTCAGTACCTTTGAAAGAGAGAAGAAAGATCTGTTCGCACTTGTTATTCGCTGGTCTATCTCTGTTAGTTGATCATTTATTGAGGTTATTGTGGAGCTGAGGTATTTAAATCTGTCTACTTTCAGGAATGACTTGGAATATTAGGGTGGATGTTTCGGCTAACTATCATGTATTTTGTTTTATCTACATTGATCTGTAGTCCGATTTGCTCTGCTTGCTAATAGAGTCCGAGCGAGTCTCTCAATATCCTCTTGATTACTTCCGAGGACAGCTATATCATCGGCATATGCTAGGATTTTATGATTCATTCCAACCTGCACCCCTCCGTCTTCGCGTGATGTTATTCTTATTACTTTCTCTAGTGCTAAGTTGAACAGCATCGGTGAGAGTCCATCTCCCTGCCTCAAACCCATTCGAACTTCAAAGGCTCCAGATACGTCCCCTTGTATTAGTACCCTGCATTTAGGATCATTGCTACACGCCTTCATCAACCTCACTAATTTCCCGGGAATACCCAGCTCAGTCATGATCCTTCAGAGACAGTTTCTGTCAACGGAGTCATAGGCTGATTTGAAGTCGACAAATGATGCGTCTACGTCCTGATCTACGTTTTTCAAGTACTTGTTTCAGGATGAATATCTGATCTAGCGTACTCCTCCCTCTCCTGAATCCTGTTTGTTGGTCACCTATTATGTTTTCATAATATGGATATATCTGATTTAGCAGAATATTAGTAATTATTTTATAGGCGACCGGAAGAAGTGCTATGCCTCTGTAATTGCCACATTCATACATGGAGCCCTTCTTAGGGGTAGGACAGATCAACCCTGTGTTCCATGCTTCTGGTATCCATTCCTTCTCCCATATCTTCTGGATAGTGCAAATAGTGCAATTTAATCCAAAAAGGCCAAAATGTGTAATATCAAATTTCAATATGTTATTCTACATATTGTTGAATGGATAGATAATCGGATCTGAAGTTTTTATGGATACAATGGAGGAAGATTCACCGCAGAACAGGATGAGTGAAATATAAATGGAGAGTTCAAAAGTGCGCCAAGATTAGACCCTGACAAACAATGGAAATTCATAAATGTGTTGAATAATTAATGTATGTTGTCATATTGTATAATTGAGGATGTGCGTTAGTTGTCTAAACCCAACCTGGGAATTTATTATTGCATAAAATAAATATTATTTAATTAAGAAACGTTTTGTTTACTTCTCGAAGGGAACGTAACCTTACAATATATGACAACAATAAGACTTATTTGGACTTACGGAATTGAGCTTTGGGGTTCCACTAAACCATCGAATTCCTGTCACATCCAATCTTTACAATCCAAAATCCTTCGTAAAATCCTCAACACTCCTTACTTTGTCACAAATAAAATCATCCATAACGACCTTAATGTTTCATATGTTTCCAATTTGGTCCAATCCAAATACCTATCCTCCCATAACAAACGTCCAAACCATCCGAGCCAAAGGCTTCAGCCTGAAATTCCTCCCCACACCGTAGATTCACCTGTGATACAGATGGAGTTACGTGAGGGAGTGACAGTCGATATAATAAATAGGGTTTGTGTTATTTTAATGACCTTAATGAGTTGTTACAGATTAGCTGTAAGGTTTACAGTTTAGCTCAGTTAAAAATGCACTTCATAAAATTTGTAATAGCCCAGTATTGCCAGAAAATAATTTCTATTCAAAGAAGAGCGGTAAGTGAAAGTTATGTGAGGCCTGCACCAGATTTTTATACTCTATTTAAATAAAAATTTATTATGATAACGACCATAACTGAAAATCCTTAAATTATAATAATAAAAGGTTTAATAATAAACACTTAATGTAGTTTGATTTATTAAATGGTGTTGAATACCTAATCAACATAAATGGACCAGCTCCTCTTCTTACAATTCATTGTTCCTTATACAAAATACAATTTCTTAAATATTTATAAATAAGTTTCTTTTACATATATAAATATGAATCATTTATTGTAATAGATGCATAATATAAATTTGAATAATAAATAAGATTACAATTATCAACAAGGAGTGAACAGATCGATTTCACCAAATTTCAAACAGTCAAGTACACATTAATGAAAATAACTTAATTTATATTTTTGGTTAAATTATTATTATATTTGATTGCCCAATTTATTCTCACTTTTTTCAGTTAGTTTCAACAATATGCTAACTATGTTGAGTAATTAATTGGTACTATTGAATTACCCATCTCCAGATTGAAATTCTTGATGTATGTTTTTATATTTTTTTCTAATTAAAGTGATAGTGAATGTTTAGGTATAAAATAAAACATTTGATACAGTAAATACAATATATAATATTTAAATAATAAAAATAACATTGGTTTCATATCTTGAAATTACTGATCACTTCACTCTTAACAAAGTTAACGTTAACATAATAAATCTTTTGCTATACAATAATATGTTAATCATGGTGTTTACTTTCAAATACAGCCTTTTTTTTTTCTTTAAATATTTTTATTTATTCTCATATAAAATAACAACATAATCTAAATTATACTGTAAGTATCTAGTATGTTAAATAAATATTACTTTTTTAAAAATAACACTTCCTTATTCATTACCATCCAGGTTTAATTGACAATAACATTAGACAAGTTAGGAAGACGATAATGAATCTCACTTATTTTATCAGGAATTCTTAAATGTTTCAGTTAAAACCTACAATAATTATCATTTTTCTGAAGAATAAAGATTTTACATATATTTACTACCATCATATTGATGTATTATATTTTTTCATAAGGTTCAAAAGTATCTGTCCAAAACAACTCTGAATTTCATAAGTAGGATGTCTTTCACTATTAAGTTTATTCCATTAAGTCATATGTTTTTAACTTATAAAAAAAATAATAATTTTTTTATAACTTCTTATTTGATGTCAGAAAAGCAAGAAATGGTAAACTGGATCTTAACAAAAGTAATTCGAAAAGTGTTATCAAAATTAACACTTGCTTAGCATTATATTAATACTGCAGGATGTTTTTAAATACATATTATTGACTAATTTGCTTTAAACTAGGTGAGGGAAATTTCTTATTGAAACAAATATGTAATCAAAATGAGTAATATCCTTTTTAAAGCAATGAGAATTTTATTTCTACCATATAACTGTTTAGGATAGTTCCATGCAATATGGTTATGCAATGTGCAATAATTTTTTTAATTTCATCAGATCTAACAACAAAAAAACTCGTATATATACTCATTTGTCTATGGTTTTGAGGAATAATTTCCTAGGAAAAACACGAATATTATCAGAGCAACATTCGTGAAACTGCTATCTTAGATAAAAATCATCTCTTAACTTAAATTAAAGATGCAAAGGTTTACATGAAATATCTGATTATTCTTGGGCAATATTTAGGTTATGTAATATAATTTGAAATAAAAAATTAACTTCAAGTAGTTAAAAAGATATTAATTTTTTTTTTATTTTTTATTTCTGTGTGTAACTTCACATAGAACTAATAATTTAGTAGAAATATGGCTATAGCTTCTAGAAATATTTTATTATTTCATATAATTTGTTTTCATGAGAAATATACAATTTATATGTACAATCATTATACACCCTGTATAATAAAAATAAGAAATCATCTGTAATGACCGTTTATGGTACAATTAAATTTTTTTCTATTTCCAACAGTTGGATTTGAATCAATCTGAATTAGTAAAATAATGTTTGTGCAACTCTATGTAGAAATTATATCTTTAACAAAAATCAATATTATATCTTTATTGTTTTCAAATCCTCACATAAATGTTCTAGTTAGTTCTAAAACATAAATTTAGGTGCATACTAACATCCAACCTCAAAAAGTATAAATAAATGGGGAAATGGATTTCTTTTTATACTTATATTTAAAAAATATATAAGAAAACATTATTAAAAAATTAAAATCTGTAGCTCAATTTCTATTAAAAGAACAAAGCTTATGGAAATGGTGGTTGGCTGGACAACAGAGCTATGGGCGAATCTTCCCTCATGTTATTGAAGGTTTCGGACTTCATTGGCTGCTAAACTCAAAAAAGGTCACTGAAAATGAAACTAATTTATCATTATTGGAAAAAGAAAAAGGAAATAATGATTGTAAGACGATTTAAGTAATAGTCAAGTAATGTTTTTTCTAAATTTTTCCATTAGTTCAGCAAACCTAAAAAGTAAATGTAAGACAAAATAGTGATTGTGAACTGAATATATTATGAGTTCATTGAATTTAGATCATGGGCTACATTTTTTGTGGTAAACACCTCCAATAATGTAACATTTAATTACAATGCACACAAACTGCTAATATTACATATTTCAGATAATATTCATATTGAAGATTACATATAATAAATACTATATGGATTTTTTTTTATAAATGCATATATTTAACACAATAACTCATTTCCATTAACTGTGATTAATAACAAAACAGGTTAACTCATTATCATCTAGAAACCATCAAATTTGATTTATTTTCATGTAATAAAATCAATGGCGGAAAAAAAATGAGCTTATGTATTGTTTTTCCAATTACATAAATTTTCCAAAAACAAGACATCCTAGTATTCAGGATATTAATTGCTGCTTATTTATTATTATATTTACTAGTAAACAGATTATAATTGATTATAATTCCCAACTCTTAATTTTTGAAATTTATTCATAACTATTGACAATAAAAATAAATTACTCAATTATGAGTGAATCTCTGATTAAGGAAATGATTTCTATTTAAGAAACACCCCATTTTACGGCATTTTAAAACTGTTTTGATGAATATTTTAGTAGATAATAAATGACCTAAAAGTGACAGAACAAATTTAATTATTTGGAAATAATTTTTCAAGGATGTAAAAACAATAACTTATACTTTTAATCACCACCCAAAGTAATAAGGCCGCATAGATTAATTGTTGGTATAATAATGCAGTATATAAAAGTTGAGAATTATAAATTTAAATTACAAATATAAAATATAGTTGAAAAATAATACATCTGTTAACTTTTTTAAGTACCACTGTTTGTTTTCAGTCAGCTCTTGATATCTCAAATTCCGTTTTGTCAAACTCTTTCGAGTTACAAAGGTAAATAGTTTGTCCCTTTTATTTAAAGAAAAGATATATTCAGGTTCAGGAACAGAAATCAGGTTCTGGTGAAAAATGGTATTTTCAAAATACTATATATAAAATATTACATTATTAAAAGAATTTGAGGTGTCCAGAGTAACCAGATTATATAATGCAAATGGACTAGAAAATTCCATTGTTATGACTAAGAGTAGTGATCTTATTTATTTTCAATATAATTAACTTGCAAAGTAATTTAAATAATAGGAATATCCATTGTTTTTAAAACATTTATATATTTTTTCTATTTATAAATAATCATATCAATTTAAGCAAAGGATTGTCTTTAAATAAAGGAAGTTTAATGAATTTTCAGTAGGTTGATTAAAAACCAAAGGAAAAAACCTATAATCTAACAGCTAATACTTATTTTGAAGTGTAATCACCAAAACTCAGTTCTTAATAACTTATTACCTTCTAAATTTATAAAAAAAGGATAAATATATTTATTTATTTATATGAGTATGTGTAGAGCCTAATATAAATACAATATATATATTTAGTTTTCCAGGAAAGTGCAAGAAACATAAAAATAGCCAAATAGTTTTGTTTGAAACAGATCTATCGTCTGAAATAGAAATAAGCTACCACACAGATTATATAGTTTTATTTTCTAGTTATCAAATATAGACTTAATTCCTAATTTTGGGTAATGAAATAAATTTTTTTTGAATGCATATTTAAGTATGTTTTCAAAAAGATTTACTCGATTTACTTGAAAATGAAATAGATCAACTTCCCACAATAGAGTAAAGATTTTTATAACAAGAAAAAAAGGAATTTTTTTTAAACAATATTATGAACACCTTTCCAAATTTTTATGTTTTTTGACTTGTTTATTCCAAATTTTAAGCAATTTTTTGATAAATGTTTAAATTAAAATATTTTTGTTAAAAATATGTTTTAAATGCTAACAAATATTTTTTTATTGTATATAAAAAATATATAAAACAAAATAAAAACTGTACTTCTATAACCCATGAATGGTCTTGGATTCAGTTCTTTGAATGCAAGGTACATTTGTAGGAAGGTATTTAGGTTGAAAGTTGTGCTAAGAAGTGATTAGACCAATATCAAACTCAACCTCCAGGTTTTTCTCCTTATTTAATTATTCAATTAATTAACAGTACCCACTTTATAGAGAATGAGTGATCCCTACAACAGTCTCCAGATCTATAGTACGATCCGCCGCTGATGAATCAGAACAAAGAATTATTATCCACAGCCAAACTCAAACCTGAGGCGCAATGCCTACCTCACTCCAGACAATTTTTTTACAGAAAAGAGACAGAAAAAAATGGTAATCTCTTAGAAAAAAAAACCTAACTTACTTTCTCCAATTCGTCTTTTACCTTGTTCGAACTCCTTTAATACTTTTCATATTATTTGCAATGGTACTTTTCTTTTTAAATAACAAAATGTTCGGTCATTAATGTTTTGAAAATAGTAATTATTCTTTTATTATTATTGATTTTGAATTTTAAAATCCTATATTTTATATACAAAATCTATTTTTATTCCGGAAAAGTTTTCAAAATTATGGCATTTTCAATATGTTTTTATTGGTTTTCACAAGCCGAATAGAACATTTATTTTGAATTTTAGTTTTCATTATGTAAAAATTTATTTGCTTAGAGAAAATATATTTATTTTTGCATAAAATTAATTTATAATTATACTTAAACACATAATAAAATGATTGGTACTTTTTAGATTTTCTGTCTCATCTTTACAACTTTACATTATTTATTATGTCATTTTTGAGCTTTTTGCAGATTACATAAAATTTGGTCTCTGCTTATAAACAATACATTTAGCCCAGTATTAATTTGTAAAAATAACATTTAATCATTTTTTATCTCACTATTCACCAAAAATAAAAATTATTTAAATGAAGAAAGTAGGAGAGAAGTAGCATTACATAAGAATAGTGGAAAGTTGTTCTAATGAAAGATAATATAGAAATATAATTTTTAAATGGAGTAATTTAAAAACTTATCAGTACCATCTTTTTTTTTTTTAAAGAGATAGATTATTTTGGATTATTTTAGATTTAAAATTTTTCTTAGATGATCCATTAGATGATTCTGGCTTGAACATAAAGAAAATTTTCTCTACTGATACAAAGTTATGTATGTGAAACCTCATAGTTATGAGATATTTTTCAAGAAAAAATAATAGAAATATAATCATTTATAAAATAATATTTGAAAAAATGAAATATTTGTAAATTAATCTTGTGAATAATAAATTTTTAAAATATAATGGATAAATTACTACTACAATATTTTAAAATTTTGTATTAAAAATTTATCAAATAATCTTGTAATGATTACTCTGATTTTCTAATCAATAAATATTCAGTATTTTTAAGAATTGGTATTTCTAAAAAAAAATACATTATATCATCTTGATCTTGTATCGCTTTACTCACAAAAAGAAAACCTTTGTAATCAATGCAGTAAATTAAACTTTTTAATTATTTATAGAAAGAAGGTCAGTTAACATTACATGCCATTCTTAAGTTACTTTTATTGTTTTCCTCTGTTACAATAAATATGGGATGAGGTTTCATAAAATTTTGTTATTTATCATAAAATATGATTAACTAAATCCACATTAAGGCGAATATAGGTAAGTAAATGTGAGGTAAATACAACACTCTTTTTTTTTTTTTTTTTATTATCTAATTTTGATGTTAAAAACTGTTGTATATTGAAACAAAAATTAAAATAATTGTATATTTTTTTCTTTTAGATTTTTGTTTTAAAAAATAATATTGTTTCTCTTCAACCCGTGTTAGAGTAAAAATGATTATTCAAGATGGGTGGGTTCTTAAGAGATAACGCATGAATTCCTCTTGCTGGCATGCCTCTCCCTCAGGGATTGGAGGTGTGCCAACTGCGCAGGGGAAGGTATTGCAGGATTGTTAACCGGAGTGCCACTCCCTGGCTGCTGGGGCGGGAGCGACTGCCGCCTCCTCCTCCTTAAGGCGGGGCTCAGGTTGTACTTTACCTTTAATCAAAGTAAAACATCAGAGATATCACATAATATAGATAAAACACAACCAAATAAATTAATGTGGTTCAATGCAAAAGTATTCCATTGCTTTTAAATATTTCATTTAAATAGTACATTTATCGGAAAGTGAAAGCATCATGATTGTGACTTATTAATTATTATATTTGGCTGTATTTAAGCAAAATGATCCAACTGACATTCAAAAAAGTTTATAGATATCAACATTTTTCTAATTCTGTTCATTTGTCCTAATATGGTGTCATTAAGTTCTTTTTTTCATAAATCTTAGGCAATTTGATCATCATTGCTTTATTGGCTTTATAAAATAATTGTTTCTAAGGATGACGTTTCAGCCAGTTTCAAGTCTAAAAAATGTTTCAATTTAAAAACAATTCTAAAATCATAAAATTAAAAACATTAAATTTATATATAAATATTAGAAAATCATTATTCATATTTAGTAAGCTTTTATGTTTAACAATATTTATTTTTCAAGTGGCTATCATACATGTAAATTCTGTATATATACGTATTTTCAATCACCTTATTTTATCTATCTCTAGTCAATCTACATGTCACCATTTTTTCATTTATTTTAGCTAAGAAATAATTATGCTATGAAGGCAATAAAGCAAATATGAGAAAACAGCCTCAACTCTTTGATTGCGAGACCTCATAATGAGTGTTTTTTCCCGATGGGGGTCCCGAAATCCAAAATGGCGTTGGGAAAACAAATTTTTATATCCCTTAAATTTGCTTAAAATACTAATTTGAGTCATCCTGAAAGACATTAACTTTCAAAAATGCATTTAAAATCTTTTCAATTAATTTTGGATCCAGAATAAACCTGCAACTAATAGCTTCCAAAAAATGGTCAGAAACCCGAACGACCAAACTGAGTAAGCTCCAGAAGACTAATGAATGCATGGAAAAACGCCCCAGGGATCCAACCGCCAGGCGGGAAGACAGGTATCCCATTCGCACAGGTGACCCAACTCCTAATGGCAAGACAGGTATCCCGTCCACAGCCACAGTGTTAAATTTATAAAAAAAAATTCTATCTTTCAATGTTTATTAAAAAAATTGGGATAATATAATTAGGAAAACAAATTTTAAAAAAATATTATACTAAAATAAAAAACCTGTTATTTTATGACAATTTAGCAAATAGATGGTAATTTTTATTTTGCATCTCTATCCCTATTCCTATTGCTGTATCTTATTCATATCCTGTATGTTATAATAAGATTTTAGAACAATAATGAGTATTTTGTCTAAAAGTTTAAGATTTTTTTTTAAATACTGCAGCAAAAAAAAATTCCATAATAATTTTTTTAACAATTAATGTGAATTGAAAACTGGAACATTATAACAAATGTGGAAATGACAAATTCTATTATAACTATAATTTTAATACAGATTGTTTATTATAATTGAAGAGCTTGGGTGATATTAACAAGCCGGGGGCGGTGTGACTGAGCGGGCTAAAACATTTAAATATTGCATTGTCTGGAAACCTGATAAACTGACTATTATGAGTTGGAGTTCTTGTACAGTGCTGAGGGCTTTTAACTCTGGCATTAATCCTCTGCCCTCTCTTCCCTTTTATTTAAATACTTTGTCTTAACAATAAATGTGATGATTCTTCTTGATTCATTGAATGTTGAAGATAAAGAATATGAATTCAATTCTCTTTTATAAATGAATTACAGTCTCATTTATTTATTTTTTGGAGCATTTTCATCTTTACAATGCTGGTTCCATCCAATTTCGGATTTTTTTCTTTGAATAAATTTTATCAATTATTGTAAAGTAGTATCTTAATTTACAGAAAAAAAAAGAAGAATTGTTTGTGCTTTTCATTATAGGAGGAGAGAGAACCTCTATTGTACTTCACGTTCTCGTTTACAGTCGTACTATGCGAGTATAAATTCAATTCAATAAAATAATTTGTAGCTTGTCAAATTAATGGAGCAAAAGTTTTAGGAATTTAGTGGAAAAACTGTCTACATTAAATTCATTTATTCCATCAAGTTGTAATTTGAGTAAACTAGTGTAAATTTCTCATTACTGGAAATTGATAGAATTTAAGAATTCACATATTGCACGATAATAAATTGTACATTTAATAGCCTCATATGTTCTAAGAGTGGTATATCATCCTTGTACCAGTTTATTGTTTATATTATTCATTAAACATGCTATGAAGACCTTGGAGAATTGCAGTTTATTAGAACAAGCTGATCTACAAATGGCTTGTTTTAATTGAAGTAACATGTTACACCAAAAATAACTAAAAAGGAATTTTAATGTGCTAAATCCCTTCTACCTTATATTCTACTTAATAGAATTATTCTGATGCGCTCATATACTGAACAAAGAATATTGGCTATGAAGTTGATTTAATTTACTAAAAATGTCTTCTGATTTTTAATGTTAATAGTTTCTGTAGGAAAAGAAATGAAAAATTAAAATTCCCTTCAAATAAGTTACTTTTAATTTTTGAGTAAACAAACGTGACAAACTAGAAAACTAGTGACTTTAAAACACTTTTTCAAATTAAGGTGATATTAAAATGCAAACAAACTGACGCATTTCAAATGTTACACATTTACTTATAAAGTATGCAATGTGTAAAATATGTAATATAAGTATTGTAAACTTTCAAAAGTTAAAAACTGCTGTACTGATATATTGTTTATTTGCCTTGTAATACTTTTAATTTATTGTAATATTAATAATTTAAGTTTACTCTGAGCCATACAATTATTTTAATTCTTGGCTTGGAGAATAAACAATTATTAAGTGCTTATAAAAATAAATAAAAAATTGATAGTAAAATATTTAATTTATCTTATGTTTTTAATGGATAATCTTCAGTAGTTGCGGGAATACAGAAACTAGTTGATTTTATTTTTGCAATTTTATGTGCATGTGTGTTTCAGAGAAAATTGCTATAAAGGATTTCTCTGTGTTTTGTAACAATAATAGATGGGAAGAGATAGATTAACAAAACAAATAAAAATTATTAACAATGTAACATATCACTTGCTATAGTTATTGTTATTAAACATGAAAAATGATTGAGCCATAATTGTTTGATTTAAAAAAATAAGTAATTTTTTTCATTAGTCAAAATTCATTAGTTTCTTACCTTAGCTTGAGAAAGTAGTTCTTTAAATACTTTTGTTATATTTAGATTTTCTTTAGCAGATGTCTCAACAAAGCCATTTTCCCAGTCTACCGTCACAATTGATTCTGTTGTTTTGGACAAGTCCTTGAAACACATATTAACAATCAGCCACCTAACTTGTATATTTAGGATTATTTAAAGCAAATTATACTATTCAAAAATATATATAAATTCCAATCACAGTCTTTGAATTCAACTATGAGAAATATAATGAATATTTTTTCTCATTTAGTCTTATGGTATCTCTTCATCAAACTATCTATTTATTTCACCATCAGGCTCGGTAGATCATTGGCTTATTCCATATCACATTGCCAAAGCATCATATAGTAATAAGTTATTTAAAATCAATTAAGTAAAATTTGAAAGTAAATAATTACAAAAATAATTAAATCACTGAGAAAAAATTGTTAATTAATGTTATGAGATAATTACTTTGTATTAAATTACCTTGTATCTTAATACAAAGGCATTAAATAAGTCTGTAATGAGATAGACTCTATTAATAAATTAAATTGGTTCATAAATTTCATTGTTTTGAGTGGAATAGTCGCTTGTAAGAGAAATAAGTTCTGGTTATGGGGACAAACCTAAAACATCAACTTTATGTAAAAGAATGCATTTAAAATTATTTATGATTTTTTTTTTTTTTTTTATGACCGACTGATTTAATAAAGATGCTAGAAATTTCAGAAAGAACATAGTATAAATATGATATTTATTTTTTAGAAGCCATAGAACATAAGGGCTGTTAGTATTTTGATTGAGACTTGATATCAATTATTCTTGCACCAAGTCAAAGAATCATGATGACTAACTTTTTTTTACTCAGTACTTGTATACAGTCTCACTACACTATATTTCTGAATCCTTGACCAGATTCTCATAATTTGAATTGAAAAGTAAACATATTCTCACAGGTACAAATTCTCTTATGATTATTTTATCAATCTGAACTCATGAAATATAATCTATTCATATGTGTTATAATGAAAGAGAACTTTTTTCAAAAGAGTTAGATGATAAATAAAATAAATTAAGAATGAAATATACATGCAATTCTTACCTGTTGAGAATCGTCCTCAATTAAATCTGTCTTGTTTCCAACAATAACAATTGGTACCTGAGCTCCACCTTTGATTTCGAGGATTTGATCTCGAATAACCCTGGCCTCTTCGAAGGTATCAGGATCTACTACTGAATAGACAAGAACAAATGCGTCTGCTGAAGATATAGACAATGCACGCATTGCTGGAAACTCGAATGAACCTGTAAAGTTAATGAAATATTAAATGCTAAACAATTTAGTACAACAACTAAATTTGAAATTAAAATTGTTCAGAAAAATGAAGCCATAAATCTTAATGCCTATCACCTGCTGTATCCAATATTTCCAGAGTCAGTCGCACACCTCCAACATTGAACTCTCCGAGGTGCATTTCTTCCACGGTCCTTTTATATTTTGGGGAAAATGTTCCATATAGAAATTGGGATATAATGGATGACTTTCCAACTTTTGCTCCACCCATAACCACCACCTGAAATTTGAGGACATAGATATGTGATTACTGTTACTTGCAATTTCTCAATCATTTAATCACATTTAATTATCAATACTAAGCAATTGATCATGAACAAAATGTATTTACACCTAACCACTTCGCCAGCTGCTTGAATTGAAACCAAACAGTACCCTTTGTAGACTGTATGGTCTTAATTGTGTTGCAAACACCTGACTAATCCTTTTAATAATGTTATATTCTCATTCAGATCCATAAAGGGACTGTCAAACCACGTTTCCATTAAAATTTATTATGCAATGCCTGGCATTATTATTTCTGTTGATCAAACTTACCTTGTGCTTCGTTCCTGTCTGAGCGGCTGAAGAGCCTCCAGTAGCTTCTTCCTCCGACTCCCCATGGCTCTCCGACCTAGAAATGGTTAAAAATGGTTTTTACAATCACCAATACCAATATGGGTTTCATTGATAACAAAATACCTTAGACTATTACATAATAAACTTTCAACTCTTACCAGTTATGCTTTATATTGATTGAAATAAATATAACTATCTGAGATATATTTACCTAAGATAATTTATTTTATTATCATGGGACAAATAAACTATGAATCATTGACACTTTAAGAAATAACCAATCTTGTGATTAAATGAATGCAAAAGATTAGTTACCTCGAATGTGCCATTAGAAGATCCCAAATTCAGATTGGTGGAACAGTCTTGAGCATTCAGTGCAATTACTAGTGTTTGCCGATGACATTGCATTGGTTGGAAGAACACGGGCAGCTATAAAAGATGCTTTCTTAGCGCTACAAGGAGCAGCAGCGAGAATGGGCTTAAAGGTCAATGAGAAGAAAACAAAGTTTATGTGGGCCGACCCAAAGGATGAAGGCCACAGAGAAGCAAATGTAGAAATCGGAGGGATGACTTTTGAAGATGCCTTGGAATTTATATACCTTGGCTCGCAAGTTAATGTAAATAACGATATGAATCCAGAAATACAGAGGCATATTATGGCCGCAAATAGAACTTATTTTGGTCTCCAGAGACATCTCAAAAGTAGACTGATCTTTCGTAAAACCAAGTTGCTCTTGTATAAAACCCTGATCACACCAGTACTAACATATGGGTCGGAGTGCTGGACAATATCAAGAGCCCAAGAAACAGCTCTTCTTCGGTTTGAACGTCGTGTGCTAAGAAGAATATTCGGCCCAATAATAAATGTTAATCAAGAACAACGAATGCGATCCAACGATGAGCTGATGCAGCTATATAAAGAAGCTGATGTTGTGAGGATAATCCTATGTCTGAATAACATGTGCTAAGGAAGTTGATGGATGAGCGGATCTTCGCCACAAGGCGGGTAGGCAGACCGAGACTCAGATGGGCTGATGGAGTGAAAGCCGACGCCCGAAGTATCCTTGGTGTCCACAACTGGAAGGCAGCAGCATTACTAGGAGAGGACTGGCGGTTGAAATTGTGAGAGGCCTTGACTCTTCAAGAGTTGTAGAGTTTCATCATTCATGATGATGATGAAAAGATTAGTTACCTAAGAATACTGATTTTTTCACTTTAAGATTGAGTAATGTCATAATTAATTTAAATATAATAAAATACATCACATTAGAATATTTAGAACTTATTATTAGTAAAATTATTGTAATTGAATATGAAGATATATCGATACATGGTCAAATTAATTTTGAATTATTTATTAACATAATTAATTACATTTGGAAATTTATGTTTCTGTAATTATTTACTTGGGGGACTAGAAGCGCCCACGTGTGAAAAATGAAATAATGTTTACAAACAGTGAAACACTTACTGGAAGAATGTTCTCAATTTGAGAATTACAGAAGAAAGGCTTAGCCAAAACATTAAGAGAAATACTTCAAGATACTGAAAACTGAGTATTATAAAAGAATATAAATTGTGGTAAAACGCCAATAGACCCTTGAGAGAAGAGTGAAAGAGAGAGAAAAAAAAATTTACATATTACGGAGTTAACTAGAATACATACTGACGTTCCTCAATACAACAAAATTTATGCTTGGATTCAATACTTGTTTTTTGTTGTGAATGATATGCAATATAAGATGCCATCTTTAGTAAAATTTCTAGTTTTTAATATTCCTGAAGCACTTTTAACATAATAAAGTATCATAAACCCGAATCTATGAATCAGAGAAGTAAAAATGTCCAAAAATAAAAAAACTTATTCACAGTTTGGAATATTAAAAGTAAAAAGTAAAATTAGTTTTTTGTCTCCTAAAATGGATCTTGTGCATTACTTACGTATGGAGGTGATATGAGGCCCCTACTATACCCACTCTTTTTTTTTTTCTCTGGAAAATTTAATAATTGTCTGCAATCAAAGTTCTAATTGGTTTTTACCATTAGGCAAACTTCTTCTGATCAAATTGAACTAAATATTTTGGACAAAAGGATTGAAAAACATGAATTTTCAATAGAAATTTCTGTTAATATTTCATTACTGTTGTTTCATAATTTTGAAAATGTTGTTCCTCAAAAGGAAGTTGCTATCGAAGCATGTGATCCACAGGAAATCAATTATATTAATATAACAAAGTCATTTGTACTAAAATAATTTTTCTTTGAATTACGAGTCTATCATTTAGTAAAATTGTACTAAACAGCTCATCTTTCAATGATAATTATCTTTTCAATAATGCTGAAATCTAATTTATATGAATCAAGATTTCCTATTTTTAATATTGGGTTGGCAAATAAGTCTTTTCGGTTTTTCAGAGTGAAATAAAACTCAATGTATTATAGATATGAAATTTATTTAATCTACAATATATTTACCATTATTTAATATGACTTTTTCCCATCTTTCCACTAACTGCATAGTGCCATGTCCATAGAATGTTTGGAGTTTATTGTTAAAAAAGTGATCCAAGTGGTTTTTGATTTCTTCTTCCTTTTGGAATTTCTTTCCATTCATGGAGTTCTGCAGAGACCGGAATAAGGCCCCATCCAAGGAATTTATTGGGAGTGACCAATGAGGTGTGGGGCTTAGCGTTGTCTTGGTGGAACACAACACCCTTCCGATTTGCCAGTTCTGGGCGTTTATTTTTAATTGATTGATCCAATTTTGTTAATTGTGAGCAATATAGAGTTGAATCAATTGTTTGTCCTGATGGCAATAGCTCATAGAAAACAACACCCTTAAAATCCCACCAAATGGAAAGCATTATCTTTTTTTTGGATGCTATCTGGATTTTGACATTCTTCTAGGAGCCTGTCACTAACCTTTTTCAACATTAATCCTGGAAACATAGCCGATCTGTGCAAATGGTTTTCTATGTTTTGTGCGACACATTTAGGACCATAGCAATCTCTCGCCCTGATTGGGTGGGATTGTGATCATCAATGGCCTTAACATTGTTCGTTTCAATTTCATGCAGCCGACCAGGCCATTGATGTCAACATTTCCTGAATGAAATTTGGCAAACCACTTTTGACAGGTGCGTTCGGTTGAGGCATCATCCGAATTACACTGCAAATTTTTCTAAGATGCTTCTGCAGCACACATGTCTTTTTTAAAATAATACAACAAAATATGCCGCTAGTGAATGATATTTTCTTCACAATGCAATAGCAAAATTTTTATTCATCTGCATCTGTTGAGAAACTGTTGACAATCAGCAGATGGCCAGATAGAAATGATTTGTAATATCAGACATGATGAAGGATAGTAACCAGCAGCAAGTCCCTGTCTTGATTCAATTACGGAGGTTTCCTTCAAGCTTAAGGAAGGATGTCTTGATTTAGTCTTTGTTACTCTCCTCCTCGTATTAAAGAGTTAAAGCCATATTTCTTATTACTAAGTAAGCATGTCCATGCAAATTAGTATAAAATCGTTGGTAAAGAGTCCATATGTGTTGGTCAACTGTTGACAGTGGGAAGTCAGTAGGTAGGGGTTTGTAAGTCATGTACAAAGATGTCAAATCTATAGGTTTATAGTCTATAAATATATAGTCAAACTATCAAATGAAAAGTTATTTAGTAAAAAGAATTCAAGTTTTGATATGGGAGAGAAATGCCTTTACTTAATCCTATATATTATTTCTAAAAGGTGTTTTTTTGTCAGTACGCCATAACTTCGTCAATTCTCCATCAAATCCAATAATTGACCACTCATTTTGAAGATATTCTTCTCCTTCACAGCCGAAAAATAGTCCTATCCTCCCGAAATTTCTGGAAAAAAGTTATGAAGGAAAAGAAACTTTACTCGCGAATAACTCAAAAAGTATGCATTCTTTTTTTCTTGATTGTACCCATGATAATTAGAAAGATAACTAAATTACCTATAAAACAAAAAAAAAAAAAAAAATCGGACAATTATTAACAAAGATATAGTCCATTAGTTCTCGTATACTTAATAATGTCTTCCTGTTTAAAGATATTGTATTTAGGAGTAGAATAGTCTACTACACTTTTTTCTCAGGCTGATATATTAACTTTATTATTTCTTAAACGTATTTGTTTGTTCTTACATTTTATTTTTTTAATAATTTAGAAAATCCCATGATCGGGGCATTATTTGGTTTTATTACTTTTATTATCTTTCCAGTCAGCGTTTAAAAATAGGTAAGCAATTTGTACAAATATTTTGGTCTATTATGTTAAATAGAATATTGTAATCGACAAAGGAAAAAATATTAATTTCTTCCTCAAATATTACATAGGATCTACTTATTTCCATATTGTTTTTCTATTTCTTCACTAAACAAAATTTTGTGCAAATTATTCACACGGACCAAATAGTATAAAATTATTTGAGGAGGAATGTTTTTAACCTAAATTGTTAATAACACAAACAACAAATAACAAGAGGAGAGAGAAAAATTTATCTTCAGAAATTAAAAAGTAATTCGTATTTTCTTTAGCATTTTTACAGCAAACTCAATTTACTGTTAAGCTATTAATCGGAGGAATGTGGAACAGAGAGGTTGAGAATAAAATTTCAGTAATAAAAAAAAAAATAAATAGAGGCTAAATCTGTCTTGATATTTCCAGAGAAATGCTTCAATTATAAAGCTGAAATAGCGAGCTGGGGCAAGAGGAGACCGACGCGAAAATAATTACGTTAGAGTAAATTAGTTGAAAACAAATTTGCGGTGACCTTTCGCCCTGCAATCCCCCAGTTTTCAGTTTAACATTCAGCCGGTGCCCCCCTCCCTCCGGAAACTGAAATTAATGTTATTTCAGCTAGCTTATCGGGGTAGCAGTGGAGTATCCTTCGTCCCGGTTCTTTTCATTTAAGTCAGGGACTGTTACCTTGGAGAGGTGGCTCTAATAAATTGTCGAGTCGATAAACTTTATGGAATAAAAAAAAAGAAGAAAGAAGATAAACTTCGAAGTCTAATTGGACAGTCAGTTCAATTCAAATTAAAA